AGCGGGCCGGTCAGGAGATGTCTGCCACACCATGTGGTCACCTCCAGGGCAGGCGGGAATCAAACTCATGCAGAAGTGGCTTTAGCTTCTCAGTGCTGTGCTTTAACCTGCTGCACCACCAGGGAGGGCCAGGTACAATATTTTAAGCTGTTGGGGGAGGACCTGTGAGACCGTTCACTTTGCTGTTTGCAGGAGAGCAGCTCCATCTTAGAAGAATAGAAAAACATTTGCAGGCAAAACTAATGATAGTCTATATAACATTTTCTCAAGAAAGTAATATTCTTTTGGTTTTTCCCTTTTCTCAAAACAATAAAATGATTATTTATTGTCTGATAAATAATGACAAAGGGGATTCTCAGAAATAGTTCCTGAACTTCTTAAGTACCGAAGGCCTGGTATCTCAACAAGGTTCATCCTGTAAACTTTCTCAGAGATTCAGCTATTTCCTATGATAACAAATAAAATGCTTTTGGATCTCAATTTACATCATCTTACCATTAAGCATTGTTCATTTATTTGAAGACCAGAGTAGGGAAACAGAAAATACAGACTAGACAAATTTGACAAGGAAAATACACAAGATCTTTTCGGGTGTTATCCCTATGGTGAAAAGGTTTTCTGTTCATTATATTTTATTTTTTGATGTTGATAGGTAGGAAAATATGGGTTCAGTTTTTACTATATATATTTTTAAATGAGGCAGCATTGGTTTGCCATAGTGTATGTGGCTCAGAGGCATAGGCTCACACCCGCTCTGATGGATGTCGCCCGACTACACCACCACCAGGCATCGTCAGTCCCCCAACGTAGTCACTTGTGCCTGACTCCACTTTGTTTTAGCTTTCTTCCTCTTCATCTTGTAGTCTTAATTCCACAGCCAGATTTCTGGGATTTGTTACTAGCTTGATTTTGGCTTTTCCCTTGTTATGTATCTCTGTATATCATAAATCAGTGAAATCTTCTGAAATTTGTCTTTCCTTTACGACTATTTAACAACATTAACCCCTTGAGTTCCCTCTACATCGTTGCAGATGGCAAGAGGTCATCTTCTTTATAGCTGAGTGATATTCCATTGTGAATTTACCCTCATCTTCCTAATCCACAACTCTGTCCATGGGCATTTAGATTGTTTCTATATCTCAGCTATTATAAATATGCTTCCGTGAGCATTGAAGCACATTTTAATGCTTCAAGTTAAAGATTTTGTGTTCTTCAAGTAGGTACCAAGTAGGTACCTTGCTAGATCACAAGGTAGATCTATTTTTAGTATTTTAAAGTCACCGTATTGTTTTCATAGGGGCTACTAGAGCAACCTACATTTCCATCAACAGTATAGAAGGGCTCTTTTTCTCCACATCATCTACAACATTCATTGTCTTTGGAATTTTGGATATGGACCTTTCTCATAGACATCGGTGAACATCTCATTGTAGTTTTGATTTGTATTTCCTTTATCAGTTGCTATGAATATTTGTCTTGTGCCTGCTTGCCATCCACATGTCTTCTTTGGATAAGTGTTGTATTTAGCTATTATGACATATTTGAATTGGGTTGTTTCTTTTTGTTACATTATGTGAGTTCTTTATATATCTAGGATATAAGTCAGATTTAGATAGTGCGAATATTTTCTCCCATTTAATAGGGTAACTTTATTTTTTTTACTGATAGTGCATTTTGCTCTGTGGACATTTCATATTGTCTCATTTGCTTCTATTTACGTTTGTCTCTCTCACATTGGAGATGAATCTGCAAAGGTAAGTGTTGAAGATAATGAAATTGATGTTTTGCAGTTTCAGGTTTTATGCCTGATTTTTTTACTTAGACCTTCTATACAGTTTCTGTACTCTCTAGCAGTAGCAAGTTGGGAGTTCAGTAGAAGCCCAAGAGCACATGATGGGAGGAAGCTTCTCAGATTTCCACCAGCTATCAGGATGTCCTATTTTTACTGTGGTTTCACTGTAGTTTTAGAATATACACTATGGACAAAGTTCCAGAAGTCATGCAGGGGGAAGGACTGGGTAACTTTCCTGGTTTTTTGGAGCCCTCCTTTCACCCCTCCCTGCAGAGAAAGTATGTTTAATTTAGCCAAAGAGCCTGTTCATTACCGCTGTACTGGAAGCTAGCACCTGAAGTTGCGCCAGCGCTAGGTTTGGTCTTCGAGTGACTCCTCAGAGCAACTAAAAAAACTAACAAGCAAGGGGCAGAGTGATGCTGCACTGACTATTCAGTTTCTTTCTGTGTATTTTAGTCACAGGCTAGGGTGTAACAGGGGGGAGGGTTGGGTGTGAACCCAGGTTTTCCAAAGTCTATTGGCTATGAACCCCCTGCTACAAAGTCTATGGCAAAACACAGAGGTCCCGCGCTCCCCTGTGCTGTGAGGCAGGCGCAGGAAACTCTGGCAGTTCCAGGACTGTTCCTCAGTGGCTTCCCAGTGTGGGCACAGAAATACCCCTGGGCAGGCAGAGCTCACTATGATCACTTGGTTTCTTTTCATGTACTCTGGGCACAATTCAGTGGTCACACGTGGGGAAGCATTGGTGGTTTTCCCAGCTCTCTGGGGGTGGGGAGTACAGAGAATCTTTTGGACAATCTTTGGACCCCAGAAACCAGACAGGCAGGAGATGGTAAGAGACTGCTCACTGCCAAAACCAGTCACCTTATTATCCTTTGGTGAACAAATAAGCTGTACACTTGCTAGAAGTGTGTGCTTTTAGTCCTGGGCTGGGGCTGCAGGGGAGCCCAGGAGCCAGCACTATTCCCTACTGGTTTCCATTCTTCCTTCCCCTTTATGATAGTTGCTGGCTCTCCTACTATGACACTAGGAAGACCCTTATGTCCCCATTTCTCTTCCAGATGTGGTTGCTCCCTTCAAACACCTATCTTCAGTGTCAGTGAAAGAAATAGTTGTTCACAGATCTCATCCATCTGTCATCTGCCCCAAAGCTTATCCCACCATCCCATTTAGAGAAACTGAAGCTCCTTTGTCTCCTGATATATCTTAAGAAAACAGGGTGGATATGTCCACAGAAACTTCACAGGTTTTGTGAAGTACAAAGAACCATGTCTCCCTGATTTAGCTCAAGTGTTTTGTTATACTATGAAAGAATCTTTCCAATGCCCTATTCCTGCCTTTTGCTATATTGAAAAAAAAAATTGCAAATCTATTCATATGTAATACTTTTGTTTTTGTTTTTTTAAAGATTTATTTATCTATGCACACACAGCTGGGGTACAGGCCAGAGGTTCAGGGGCAGTGAGAGGATTCAACAGAGACAGAGTGGGGACCAGATCAGGCAGATCTACTGAAATACACTGTGAAGAGAGCAGTGGGAGGGTCAGGAGAAATGTGACCTGCCATGGGGATCACCTCCAGAGGTGTATCAAACTCATGCTGAAGTGGCTTTAGTTTCTCAGTGCTGTGCTTTAACCCGCTGTGCCACCAGGAAGGGCCCATATATAATACTTTTAATAACACAATTGTAGCTGAAGAAAGAGTATTGATCTGGAAATTGGAAGATATACCCCAACTCAATGACAGACCATTTATAAAGCACTTTTCTCTTATTGGCCAGAATTTTCTGTTTGAGATTACATTTTTACTGCTTTTATTTCTGATACTGTATTTATACTCTGTGTAAACTACTTCTATATATATATATATATATATATATATATATATATGCACATTATAGATTTTGTCATCATGCAATCATGTTCTTGTCTTCTAGGTCAAATCCCTTGATGGCATGTCCACTGTCGGCAGTGTTACAAGGAAGTGGAATGGGGTGTTGTCAACAATGGCTGATGCTGACCATTTTGACATTCACTTCTCACTAGATCTGGATGTGAAGATGAAAGCCATGATATTTGGAGTTTGCTTCCTCATTGTAAGCCTTTTGATTTTGAGTTATCCTGAGAGAATTATTCTTTTGGATGAGAAGAGTAAGGAGTGTTAGCCAGGCAAGAAGCTTTGAAACTAGGCCTTATCTGTCTCTGCTACTTACTAGTTAGAGGGCATACAAAGTGTTTAATACTTGCAAACCTCCACATCTGTAAAGTGGAGATAAAAGTACTGTATTTATCCGGGTAATAGCTATCATATGAGTAATGAAGCAGGCACAGTTCTTGGCATCCAATGATACTAGTCATCCAATATGTGTAATTATCACCATTGACGTAATTATTTGCACTACTTTAAAATCCTTGTCCTTTTATTGCTTTATTGGATAAAACAACTTTAAAGCTGTTGTCTTTTCTTCCATCTTACTGTCTCTGTATCAGTATATTCTTTGATATTTGACCATCCATGAATTTCTTAGGTACAGTTCCCTTTCTGTGTTCCTGACTGATTGTTGGTTAATGTTCATTAGTAAAACACTCACACAGTTGATAATATTACTTATAAACTTAACATATTGCAATTGGTTCATTTTCAAATATTTAGCACTAATTATCAATTTTTCACCTTTAATAATGAAAGTTTATTTAAGTATTCAAAATAGAAAACTCACTGGCTATCACCATTGCCATGTTTTAATTGCCATCTTTTGTATTAAGTCCTCTTCATGAGGATTCCATTAAATATATTTATTTTAACTCAGTTGGAAGGATCATCTGCGAAATTATAAAGTACAATATTTTATGTGTGGCATTTCTGTGTACATACACATAAGTAAGTTCCTGTCTACTTACCCTATGTAACAATTATTTTTCCAATTTCAGGATTTCATGTATTTTGAAAGGTCTGCAACACCACCACATGCAAGAAGATAAGTAGACTCAGCAAATCAGCAACTTTGGTTAATTTTAAAAAGACACGTTGGCTCAGGCTTATAATCAACCCTCAGTGATTTGTGAGTGTATTTTTCTACTTTTGTAGATTATTTTTACTGGGTGCCAGCTTTGACAGTTAAGCTGAAAATATAAGTGTGAGAAAAATATAAATGTGTGTTTCAATTGAATACCTATCTACATGTCTACTTGGTTGACTAGGAGTTTACTCTGATTAGTGAAACAATTAAACATAAAGTGAGATGAAAATACTTTAATGGTAACAGAAAATGAATCACAGGACTATCGCACTAGCATGCAGTAAATGGTGGACCTCATCAGAATAATGTTTGTTGAGACAGTAATAGAGGTGCCATTTGTAGCCCTTTATTCCTTCATCTGCACATCTGTATGTCCTCTTATAGATGGCAAATTGGTGAAAAGAATGACCTTCTTCACCTTAAAACAAAAAAGGCAGATACAAATATTATATGATATTGTGTAAGACAATTTCTTTTGTGTACATGTATCAAACTCTTATTTTGCAAACTTCATTTTTGTTTTAAAGAAACTTTTGTTTTTTAATATGAAGTATATTTTTTTAAATGTAAGGTTTATATTTTCATGCTTGTTCCCTGTCTTCATTGGAAAATCAGGAGCTACCTATAGAAGAGGAGACAGAAAGAAATGAGATGATTACAATTGTAGACAAAATAGACTTCTAATCTATTTTGGGTCACCTGTACCCTCATAAGAAGTTTGCATTTTAATATACTTAACAACTGTTGGTCACAGATGCTTTATTTTATAAGATATGTTTAACCAAATCTCCAAGATTGCTTACTGAAAGTATCTCTTTTGATGGAATACAGAGGAGGTAATTGATTTTTCTTGCAAGATCTTGATAATCACTGTGGTATTCTAATTGCACAAGAGTTGGTTCTTGTTTTTAAATTTTGAAATGTGACATTGTGTGTAGCATTTCATAAAAACAAAAACTACAAATTCTGACACTGCTTAATAAAAGCTTTGCTGCTTTTTATTTAAATAGATATTTATCGATTCAAAGAAATAATAAAGCACAGCCAATGTTATTTTTTTCCGTAGTTTTAAAAGTAAAGATTATGTAGAATCAATAAAATTAAAGTATTAATTGTACTTGTTTGTATTAACTAATTAAAAGTATAATGTGCTAGTGGCTGTAAACTCAAATCAACTTGCCTCTATTGCACTTTAATTTCTCCCTGGAAATAGAGTGTATTTTTCCAACACAACCTGTCTGTAGAATAGAATGTAGTTTTGTGTTCCCTTTTAAATAAAGTCTGTGTTCTTAGATGCTATTCTGCGATGAGACCCTTAGCTCACAGTTCTCATGGAAGTAAAAGAAAGGTGCCTCTTTTTACAATATTCATGGTAAAAGTTATTTTACTCATGTTTTTTGTAATGCTCACTTTTGTGTGCTGCTGTACCTTTGCTTTAAAAAAAAATGGCTGCTGGGCCCTCCCTGGTGGCACAGCGGGTTAAGGCACTACACTAAGAAGCTTAAGCCACTTCCTCATGAGTTCGATCCCCACCTGCCCCGGAGGAGATCCACATGGCAAGGCAGACCTCTCCTGACCCACCCGCTGCTCCCCTCAGCAGTGTACTTCCCCGATCTGCCTGTTCTGCTCCCCACTCTGTCTCTGGTGAAGCCTCTCACCCTCCACATCTCTGGCCTGTACCCCAGTTCTGTATGAATAAATAAAATTTAAAAATATATATATTAAAAAAAAAGCTGCTTCCTGTAGTAGTAACAATATTATGTGTGAAAATGCTATTGTAGTCTTAAACAGAAGTATTATTTCTTATGTTTCACATGGAAAATCTGACTTAGCTGTAAGTTATTCAGAAAATTATATAAGCTTTCATTTGGTCTTATACCCCTTATTTCAAGATCTTTAAATAAAAACAATTATTTTTAACATGTGATATTTTAAAATTATTATTTACATTTGTGTGGTGTGAACAAGTCCCTTACTATAGTTTCAGTCCTTTTGAATATAATATTATATATCTTATGTTATATACTACATTATCATACTAATGCCTATATTTCTTTAATGGTATTTCATTGTATAAAATTGGTGATGAATTAAAAATAACCAATCCTCTGAAATGTATGTGCTTCATCATATTATTTTTGGCTTTTAAATAAATATGGTTTCTAGTAAAATACTGTTGTATTTTTGACATTTAACTGAGTCTTTATTATAGAGTCTTTATTATGTCTTCCCCCAAGAAATGTACAAATTACTCCAAAGTATTTGGAGGTGGAATTTATAGGAGGTGATAAGTCAGCAGGTGTGAGATTAGTGCTCTCAGACCTGCCAGTGCTTACCTTGGATTTCTCATTCACCACAACTGTGAGAAATAAGAGCTTGTTAGTCTTCAAACCACCCAGTCTCCAGTACTTTTTTTTTTTATAGAAACCTAAATGCATTAAGACAGAAATGGGTGTGATAACATACCAAAACCCTAAAAAGGTAGAAATGACTTTGGAATGGAATTTGAGGTATACGCTACTAAATAAACTCAGCTTCCATGAGCAGTTTTTTAAAGATGATTGCTACAAAATGAAGAACTGTGGAGAAAGCTTCAATCCTCTTAGCAAATACCTAAACCTGAATGGAAATTCGGTGGAAACATGTAAATAATGTTTTGATGTGATATCATTGAAAATAAGGAGCTTCTTAATAGAAATTTGAAGGACAGTTGGTGCTTATAATACAGTGGTATAGAATATGCCTGGACTGTGTTCTAGTTCTGTTTTTATGGAAGGTAGAACTTGGAAACTATGCTGTGGGATATTTAGTTGAAGCTATTTCTGAGCAAGTATGAAGATGCAGCTTGGTTCTTCCTGACAGCTTATAATAAAATGCAAGCAGAGAAAATGACTTAAAGACAGAAATGTTAAGCAAAAGGCAACAGAACCAAAATGTTAGGAAAATTATGTTGTTTGTATTGCAAAATAGAAATGAGACTGGCTAAGGGTGTTGCCAAATAACTGGTTAATATGGATCATTTGATCTCAAAAGAAGCCAGATACAATTCTCTGAGACATAAAGGAATAACCTATAGATTCAAAGATCAACAGAACTAACATGTCCACCACAGGTCCCCAAGAGCAAGGGCCTGGGTGGAGTAGAGGTAAGGAAAAGGGCTGCTGTCATTCAGCCTTGTGTAGACATTGCTTTATACTCTGGCTTCACAGCTCTCAGTTGCTCAAAAGCAACTAGTGATCCTCGATGTGGATTCAGCCTTGGTGGCTGGGCCTTTGGGGAGTTAGACATCAAATTTCGGTGATGTCCATACAGCTTTGTCTCTGCTGGCATGCAGAGTGCACAGGTCTATCTCCATCTCACTTTCAAATGCCTGGGCAATTTGGAGCCATGGCTCAAAATCCAAGCTGAAAGAGTTATAGGGCCCAGGTAAATTCTGTTGGAGACATTCTTCTGAAACATGCGGGAGACACTGTCACCCCAATGGGCCTACAAAGCAGACGACACTGAGTCAGATTATTACTCTTGCAACTTAATGTGTCATGTTTATCACATTAGTTCTTTAATTTACCAGAGACCTTCTAATTCTTTCTTCTATTCTAATGGAAATATCTATCATATGCCTGTCCCGGAATTTTGGAATCTTAAAACTTGTTTTCACAGGTCCAGAGCTAGCAACCAATTTGTCTCAGAGTGAATGTGACCTTAAGTTTGATTTAAAATATTTAGATGAGGCTTAGGGCTCATTAGTTAATGTTGAAACAAGAATGAATTATATTGTACATGTGAGAAAGGCATGACGTTTGTAGGAGGGGCCAGAATGCTATAGACTGAATGTTGTGCTCCCCCCATTCCTCCAAATTTATGTATTGAAGTCTAATCCCCAATATGATGGAATTTGGAGGTAAGGGCTTTTGGAGGTGATTGAATTACGAGGGTAGTCAGATACTCTACTTGTTCCTGTTTTTGACCTGTACAAAGTTATGTCCTCCAAAGAGCTACATGTTTCTTTTAAATAACTCTTGCTTATACTCTAGCTAACATAATTTACCTTAAATTTTTTTCATCACAGATAAAGCAGAGATACAGCTTAGTTTTAAAAATTTTTGATTATTCAAGAATAGACACATAGAGGCGCTAAAGAAAAAGACAAAATATTTAGTTTTGCACCTCCCTATGTCAGTAGAGGGCAGCACCAGTTGATAGATTTTCTTAGTAAGGAATGCTTACTTATTCAACCAAGTGTACTGATCTATAAGTTTTTTAAAGCACAGAAGCAGATAATGTTAGTTAAAAAGGACATTAAGTATGGTCTGCTCTCCTTTCTAATACGAGGAAATTAAAAGAAGTGTAGTTCACATGTCCAAAGTTTCTCATTAAATTAGTACTAAAAGCAGAAGTAAAATTATAGTTCTTTATGTTTTATTCCAATTTTCTTGCCATCACACCAATAATTTAGCAGTGATTTGAAATATTTTAATGTAATATCTTTCATAATGTTGAGACTTTAAGCACTTAAAAAAGTTGGAAATTTTCTAATTTTTTAAATCATTTGAAACACATGTAGAGATTACTTTAAAAAACAGATTTGATTAGTAGAGGTCTTGTAACTTTGAAGGAAAAACTAAATTGTTATGTTACAAAATTTTTAAATTGTCTATCTCATGGATTACGTAAAGTTTTATTTAATTAATTCTTTCCTGTATCCATTGATACAATTTTGTCTTCTGTAGATAACATTCACATTTGAGTTCAATTTCTTCATTAAAATATGGCTATTTTGATTTTTTTTTTTTTTTGGTAAAAGTCTATTCATTGATTGATTTTCCTGGTGTGAGAAATATTAATGTTGGTTCAAAGAGATTATCTTTGGAACAGAGACAAAAATCACACTGTTACCATGAAAGGAGAGAGAAACTTAACTAATGGCTAGTTGAATGCAAATCTTATCTGCCAAGCTCAACTGATGACGTAGATAACAAGACTAGCCTGTAGGAATGCTTTTCAGGGACCTGAACATAAGGTGTAGATCAGCAATGAGGACAATTACTGGCAGTGCTCAGTGTCTCTTTTATGCCCTTGAGCTGTTTTGCTGTTATTATATTTTTCTACTAGTTAGGACCTTTCTATTTGTCTATGTATTTCCTTTATTTGTACATCTCCCCCAGTTTATACAGATTAGTATATTTCTAACTAAATGCGTGGTTATGACACTTGTTTGAGGCACAAACACAAGGCCTGCCTGAATATGGAAATCAGGGAAAACTTGTGCTGTTTTCTTCACTGATAGCTCTATGACTTTCAAAGAGAAATTATATTGTCCGCGTTTTGAGAGATGACCTTGTGAATGAAACCCAATGAAAAACCCAGAAATGACATACACATTATTTGTATCTTAAAAGAACTTTTTGTAAGGATACACAGTATTCCTTGAAAATAAT